CTTCTTCTTCTTCTTCTTCTTCTTCTTCTTCTTCTTCTTCTTCTTCTTTTTAGTTTTTGGAGACAGGATTTCTCTGTAGCTTCGGAGCCTGTCCAAGCCTGTCCTGGAACTAGCTCTTATAGACCAGACTGGCCTCAAACTCACAGAGATCTGCCTGCCTCGGCCTCCCAAGCACTGGGATTAAAGACGTGCAACAACCACCACGCCAGGCACCTTTTCTTCTATACAAATGTAAATATAACTAAATTGAGATTATGCACACACACAGTTTTGTCTCCTGTTTTTGTCTGTTTGTTTGAGACAAGGTTTCACTTTGCAGACCTAGCTGTCCTGGATTTCACTATGTAGGCCAGATTGGTTTGGAACCCACAGAGATCTTCCTGCCTCTGCCTCCAGAGTGCTGAGGTTATACGCAGAGGCTACCATGCCTATCACTTTTTTTTTTTTAAACTAGAGACAAGTTTCTCCTGTGTAGCCGTGGCTGTCCTGGGACTAGCTCTGTAGACCAGGCTGGCCTCAAACTCAGAGATCTGCCTGTCAATGACTTCCAAGTGCTGGGATTAAAGGCCCGTGCCACCACTGCCTGGCCTTATTTAACACTTTCAATTGGGCATTTTACTAAGTCATTAAATACTGAGAGGCAACGTTAAAAGATTGCTGTGAGAGCTGCCGGTATCTCAGTGTTTAGTTTGTGTCACACGCTGGGTTCAGTCCCTCCTGTTCCCACACCCTAAAATGTAAGGTTTTTAGTGTGCTTATATTCAAATTCCACAATAGGAAATGCATTTTGCTTTGTGATTAAAGACATTAGGAATGCAAGTTGGGTAGATTGGTGGGTTTGTAAATGTATTTCTAAGTTTGTTAAGACACTTGGATTAAAAGCTAGGATGTGGGTTGGGGTAGAGCTCAGTGGGAGAGCTCTTGCCTTCTACTTACAAGCTCTGTCTCAGGGGTGGGGGGTGCGGAGGAAAGCCCACTCCTCGCCCATTCCAAGCCTGGTGGTATACACCTGCAATCCCAGAGTTTAGGAAGCTGAGGCAGTTGAATAGCCACAGGATTGAGGTCATTCTGGGCTACCTGAAGAACGTGTCTAAAGACAAAAAAAAAAACAAAACAAAAAACAGACAAACAATAATGTGGGAGGGGCTGACAAGAAGGCCCAGAGGTCAAACACAATTGCTGCTCTTCCAGAGAATTTGAGTCAGGTTCCCAGCACCCATGACAGGAGGCTCACAAAAGTCTGCACCTCCAGGTTCAGGGGACCCAACCCTTGCAGAGGAAACACATTGCTGACTGAGCCTTCTCCCTAGCCCTGTGTTCTCCCTTCGCTGCCCCCTTGTCTCACAGTTTTGTGGGGCTGGGAATCAAATCCACAGTTAACCTTTCTGCTTGGTTTACATCCTTTGCCTCTGCCCCACATTCATTCATTTACTGTGTGGGGAGGGGTCCACGTCGCAGGACGGCTGCGAGGCTTCTCTTCCACTGTGCGGGTTCCAGTCCGGAACTCAGGCCTGCTGGCTTCTAGCCTGAGCCGTCTCCCCTGCCCTATTTCCTGTGGTAAAGTTACAACACGGGAGTTTTGTTTTATTGGGTGGGGTCGTACTCCATTTCCTGAGACTAGGCCTCACTGCGCGTGGTCACCCAGGCTGTTCTGAACCCTGGATTTCTGGTGTCCACTCTCGGCCTCGTAGGTGCCTGGCATTGGATTTGATTTAACCCAATTTGTCTGGTTTTTCTCCTGTCACTTTTGCTTTTGATGTTGCCTGAGCTCAAATCCATAGATTTTTCTGTTTCCTAAGAGTTTTGTAGCCGTAGTGCCCGTGTCTAGGTCCGTTTTGAGATAATTTGTGTGTACTCTGGAAGTGGAGACCCACACTTTACATGAGGATATCCGGTTGCCACAGCAGAAGATGTTGAAAACCGTTCTTTCTGAAAAGATAAGTATCAGCTCAGGACCCCCAGGACCTAGCTCTCAGCACACAGGAGACTGATTTGCAGGAACAGGGCAGGGATAAGAGACAAAGACAGAGACAGGGGAAGGGGAAGGAAGCAAGGGCAAGGGAGCAGGGGTATTTATCCCAGAGGACAAAGGACTGCCTCTGGATGGAGAGGAGACAGACATGGCACATAGAAAAATGGCAGCTTATAAAGGTACAAAGGGGGAGCCCCGTGTTAGGATGAGGTGTTTAATTTTAATTGGGCCTGTTAATTAGGTGAGTCAAAGGGGGCTTCTGATTGCTGGACTTCAATACTTTGATAGTTGGACCTTGGTTTTCAGCCAGGAGGAGGAAGTGGCCAAAGAATGGTTTTGAGCAAGGCCAAGGGAAGGGGAGAAGGGCAAGGCCTGCTAGAGCCATACTCTCTGCTCTCCACGCTGGAGCTGGCCGGAGTCCCTTCTCTTTCTCTTGTCAGATTGTGCTGGCACTCTCATTTTTAAAAGGATATTATAAAGCCAGGGACAACGTGGGGAAAAGCAGTGTGTGGTTCTGCAACTCGGGCACAGCCTCATTATGTATTCCCTGTCAGTCCCCTTTCCATGGGCTTGAATTTCCCAGAACTGTAATTATACTGTCTCACATATTTATTTTGTCCTTTTCACTTGAATGATATGTTGTTGCCTAATGTTTCCTTTGTAGGTTATACATAATTTGATAAGTTAGTCACATATTTTGAAAATTGAAGTTTATTTTTTTTAATCTAAAAAACATTGTACCCAAGCTACTAGTCTTCCTTTGGATAATCTCCTTAGATACATTTCTGGGAAGATTCCTTGCAAACATTGGAAATAACTAGAGACTAGGTATATAATTTTGATTTTGAGAATTCTGGGGGAGAAGGTCTGTCCCATTTAGTGTAACTGCTAACTGATGCTGAACTTTCCTATGACGCAGACAATAATCGGTATCATTTTTGCATAATTATACTTAATTCTCACATAAATTCAACTAGACAAGCAATCCAAGGCTCAGGAAAGTTTGAAGTTTTGCCCATAGTCTCTAGTAAATGACAAAGATGGTATTCATGACTGTGACTAACTGGTTAGAAGCAGTTTTGACAGTAAATTCCCACAGTGGTTGTATTAGGTTAGGTATTTTGCGTGACGTTCTCTGAATACACATGATCACTGTTACTGCTGCTCCTAATCTTATTTTAGTTTTTTTAAATGAGAGCCTAGGGCCTGAGGCTGTATCTCAGTGTTCGCCTAATTCAGGAAGCCCTGGGCTCCGCCCCCAGCACTGAACTAGAGGGTGCACACCTGTGGTGCGGAGGCAGCAGGGCTAGAAGTTCAAGGTCATTTAAAGTTTGGGAAGACACTTAAGGCCCAGGTTAAAAAAAAAAAGTTTAAAAACTGATTTTTCTCCTAAGATTTTGTAATTCATTTCTCTTGGAATTCATGGACTAATAATTACTCCCGTTTGTGTAGCATTTGACATTCCACAGTCATAGAGAACACCCATAACTAATACAGAAATTATTTCATTCAGTGGGTGAATGCTTCAGTAAAAAGAATGTGGGTGTGTGTGATTGACATACCTAATACCAGCATTGATGTCAAGGTTCAAGGCTGGCCTGGGCTACATAATGAAACCCTGCCTCAAAAAAGAAAAGGAAAAATTAATTTGGAATATTTAGTACCAAGACATAAATCTAAATTTCTAAATGTATTTTTAAAAAATTATTTATTATGTATATAGTATTCTGGGATGTATGCCTACATGCCAGAACAGGGCACCAAATCTCATTACAGATGGTTGTGAGCTACATATGGTTGCTGGGAATTGAACTCAGGACCTCTGGAAGAGCTAGATGTCTTAAATATACAAACTTTACTATTGTGAAAGCTGTTGAGATGACTCGGTGGGTGAAGTTTACCATGAGACCTGATCATCTTCCTGGGAGATTGCAGACTCCCGTGAGTTCTCTCCTCACCCTCATATCCATGCTGAGACCCCTTTTTAATACAGAATAGATACAAATAAATATGGACTTTTAAAAAAATCTTGGGGCTGGGGAGATGGTTCAGCCATTAAGAGCACTTACTGTTCTTGCAGAAGACCTGGATTCAATTTCCAGTACTCAATGGCCACTCACAAACATTAGTAACTCCAGCTCCAGGGACTCACGGCCTCTAGTGACCTTCTCTGGCACAAGGCATTCTGGGGTACGCGTCCATACCTGAGGCAGAAGACTTACATAATGAATAAATACTTTAAATGTTTTGAATCTTTAAAGTGGGGGGGAGGGGAGGAGAAGGAGTTTGAGAAATTGCTGAGTGGTTAGGAGTATTGCCCCAGGTGTGGTGGCACACGCCTTTAATCTCAGCACTTGAGGCAAGCAGGCAGGTGGACACCAGTCTGGTCTCCACGGTGAGTTTCAGGTCAGTCAAGGCTATATAGTGAGATCCTGTCTCAAATCCAAACCAAACAAGTACTGCTCTTATAGAGGACCTGGGTTTTCTTCCCAGTGCCTACATTCCCTTACATGCTGATCACTCCCCCATACATATAATTAAAAGTTGAGAA